TAGGATATTTTCTCTCTCATGATTCAGACTCTTAATTCTAGTGTTTCTTGTTTTTTTAATTTATTTTATTTTTATTTTTCCCAAAGTACAGTTGTTCTTGCTTGTCTATTTTGTTGATGTTTATAAATAAGTATCCAAAGTGCTAAAGTGATCACTACTGGCAATAGCAGTGACTTCCTCAACAAAACTAAATATTTACTCTTGCAGACTCGTGAATACAAAATTTCATTAAAAGCTCCCAAGACATGATATATATGTGAGGAAAGATGCATCAGGATGCTTGCCTTTGGTTTTAGACCTTCCTTGTTGAGGCAGCAGAAGTAGGTTACCACATGGGATACTCTCTTTGTTTTGAGATGCAGTCTTGACGTTAGCTTAGATTAAAGCCTAGATTCCTCAGGAAAGGGATATATGCTGTTGTTTAAAATGGAAAATCAGCATATTCATTAAAACAAATATTGTAGAAGCGTATTTTCCAAAAATACTAAAACAGGTGTACAAGGATGTATGTTTAGGAATGTTTCTTACACGATTATTTTACTAATGACTATATTGGAATATATGTATTCCATATCTTTTTTATCCATTCACCTATGGGTGGATGCTTGCATTGCTTCCATATCTTGACTATTGTAACTAATGCTGCAATAAACATAGGGTGTATATATCTTCCCATTAGTGTTTTCATTTGCTTTGGGTAAATCTCAGTAGTGGAGTTACCGGATCATATGGTATTTCTATTTTTAATTTTTTGAGAAACTCATACTGTTTTCCACAGTGGATGCATCAATTTACATTCCCATCAGCAGTGCGCTAGGGTTCTTTTTTCTTCCCTTCCTTGCCAACACTTGTTATTTCTTGTCTTTTTGATTCTAGACATTCTGAAAAGTGTGAGTTGATACCTCATCGTGGTTTTGATTTGCATTTCCCGGACGATTAATGATACGGAGCATCTTATCATTTGTCTGTTTGGCATCTGTATGTCTTCTTTGAAAAAAAGTCTCTTAAAATCTTCTGCCCATTTTTAATCAGATTATTATATATATATTTCTTGGTGTTGAGTTGTATGTATAAGCGCTTTATATTTTTTTGGATATTAGCTCCTTATTGGATATATCACTTGCAAATATCTTCTCCCACTCAGTAGGTTGCTTTTTCGTTTCATTGATGGTTTCCTTCACTGTGCAAAAGCTTTTTATTTTGGTGTAATCTCAATAGTTTAAAGGAATAATGTCCATTATAAAGTTTCAGGTAAAAAAAAAAAACTTGCAAAGCAGTATCTTAAAACAGAATTTTGTAAAAATAATATAAAAAATAACTATCTACTTTATGTGTAAAACATACTACATTCAGATAATGATATAATTTTACATATTTTACATATACATACATATATACATCTAGATACATGCTATGTGTATGCATGGATTTGCATGTGTGTTTGTATATATATATGCATGTTCTTACATTTTGGCTAACTTTATACAGTTCTGAAAATAATATAAACCAAACCATTTTTTTGTGATTACATCTTTTGGTGACAGAGTGTTCAAATGGGGAATTTGTGACTATAGTTACATACACTTTCATATTGTTTTATGTATTTTTCTCAATGAGAATGTCTTTTGATAATTAAATAAATGATTTTAAAAGATCAAAGCAATATCTTGAGACGCTACCAATAACTTGAGGAAATTAGTACAATTTTACCAATTCTCTCTTAGTATTTTTGTTCTTTTGATTTTAAACATAGGTTAATGTTAATTGATATATTTTACATTGTATTTTTTCTCTCAAAAGTATTTCTGACTTCTGCATTATTCTGTTATGTTAATATGTTAATGCATATTGGTTACAGTATTGACTTTAGGATTCAGAATCATAACATCTAAAAACTATTATCCAATATCCTATTTCCCCTTTTTTGACTTTGTAATCTTGATTTATCTTTCAGTTTTCTGGAATAGGTCTCCAATAAGTCTTTAATGTTTTTTCAAGAAGAAATGGATGCTAAAATTATCCTCCTATACATATCAGAGAATGACTTTTTTATTCACATATTAATAAAAACTTGACATGTTCACATTTTATTCATAAATGTGATTTTTGTAGACTTTTATTACATGGTCTCATGTTGTTCGCTGATGTGAAGAAGTATCAGGCCAGACTTGTGTTTACCTGTAGGTAACTTGTTTTTTTCTATTTGATGTCTGCAGGTGTTTTTAAGTTCCATTTCAAACTTTAATTACGATGTTTTTCCTTTTTAAAATCTCAGACATTGTTATATTTTTCCTAGTCTCTCTTAAAAATACTATTTTCCACATTTGTGTTATCTTTTTTCCCATAAACTTCTCTCATAGTTTTTATTTCTTTATTATTTTGGAAGAACTTTTAAAGTTTGTCCTCTTCATCCCTACACACTAATTCAGTTTTTTCTTTATTTTCCACAATACCGACTTTACTTTTACTATTGTTAATTTTAGTTTATGTATCTTTTCTTACATTGCCCATCTTATGTTGTAACTAACATGTTTTCTTTACCACTCAGCATGATTTTTGTATGACCCTTTGTTTGCCTAATTGACATGAATCACGTATTTTTGCATACTCTTTGAATGCCAAATACTATTCTAACATTTTCTACTGATTCTGAATTGAAAGTAATATTGGCACACTCAGTATTTTTCTAGCAAGTTGTTATGTATGGCTTGCTTGGGCACCACTTATACTTAGTATCACTAAGTATATATTTGAAGTATCATTAAGATTCTATTCTCAATTCAGTTCTGCTCAGCAGATTTTAAGTACATCTCTTCTGGATTGAGTTAAGATTATCTCCAGCATTTACTGCATGATTCACTGACACTGAACCAGTTAAGTTCAAACAACCTACAATTATGAGCATGTCCCACCAACAACCATCCTATCACTGTTTCCTTCCACAGCATTATAGTCATTGTGGTTATGTCTGAAAGATGAAGTACATTTCCATTAGCATCTCCATATTTCCTAACGTTTTATTTTCTGAGAATTTCAATGTCTGAATGAAAGGAAGAATGTAAAGATGGAAGAAAAGAAACAGTAATTTAAGTGTGTTAAAATAAAATATCTATTGTCTTAGTAAGCTTAGTTTGCGTAACAAATACCATAAATTGGGTGGCTTAAACAATAAATAGTTATTTCTCACAGTTGTGAAGACTAGAGTACCAGTATGGTAGCATTCTAGTGAGAACCTTCTTCTGGCTTGTAGATGGCCAGCTTCTCACTCTGTCTTCATATGGCTGAGAAAGAGATTACTTCTCTCATGTCTCTTCCTATAAAGGCATTAATCCTATTTATTATAGTTCCATTTCAATGACCTCATTACAATTACTCCCAAAGGCCCCCTCCTACTAATACCACCACATCAGGGATTAAGGTTCCGAGACATGAATTTGGGGGCAGGGCACAAACATTTAGTACATAACATACATACAGCAAAGTTTTCCTGGGGCAAGGATAGGAAGCATCTCGCTTCAAAGACAGGTGATGGTGGAGAGAGAAAGTATTTCTCTTCTTTCACTCCAATAGGGTCTCTTGTTTTAGCAACATATACATAACCATTCATTGTACCATTTTATTCAATTACATAGATTTTGTAGATCATGTGATATTTTTCCAATTTTTAGCAGTAACTTTGTTGTCATTTACTGAAGTTTTTGTGAAATTTTCACCTTCTTGTGGACCTTCATGGATACTTTGTTGGGATTTAGGGAGAGGTTGCATTAGGAACATCTAGTCAGACTCTACTTCTTGTCCATATCAATTATTCTGAGCAATCCTTCAAGGCAGAGAGATTTAAAAAGAATGAAATCAATAAAAACCTTTTTCCTTCTCTGTCCAAAATGACATAACGAAGTAATTTTCATGAGCTTTATCTCACACAGTGAAAATCTACAAAACAAGGCTTTGAATATATAAGCTTCAAAGTATGAAATTATATTGTTAGAGTTTTCTAGTCTTTTTTTCAAACTTTAAGAAAATACTTATGTGAAACTGCCTACTTCTAATATATATGTTTGAATTGAAACAAAAAATCTGTCAATACATGTCTACTGGATGGTATATATTTGAAAATTAAATATATAATTACATTTATAACTAAAAATTCTAAATAAAATTTAAGACATGGAAAATATTATTTGAGATACTTTGCTGTAAAATTCTATTATATTTGCAAATGATAACTAATTCGAATACCCCAAGTAAATAATTTAAATACTCCAAATGAAGGTGTTACTGAAAGAAGATAAGATTTAACTATATATGATTTTGACTAACTAACTATTTTTCCTCATAAATGGGCTTTGTATTTTATGTAAGGGACCACTATGCAAGTATGACAGACAACACAGAATTTTGCATGGCAACTATGAAAGAAAAATCATGCTTATTTATGATATGTATGAATGCAATATGCTAAGAACTTTGGTCTTTCAGTTCCTGGTTTTATCCATCTTGTATTATCCAACATCACTGAATTCTATTTCCTTAATGATACATTAATAATAACAATTATGTATTGGATTATATTGATAAATAAATGAGATAGTAAGTGCCCTATAAATGGAAAATCCCCATACAGATATGCACTAAAATCCTAGCCATGCAGGAAGAGTTAGGCACATGATTGGTACCTGTATTGGCAATGTCATTTTCAAAAATGAAGGACAATCTATATAGAAATAATTGTATATATATTTATTATGGGCCATTGCAACTGTTGATAGTTCTTAAACTGCTCAAGTGGTGCTTAATGCTCAGTTAGTAAACCAAGTAAGCCCAGTTTCTGGCTTAAATGGACTGTGAATGAAGGTATAAAGAATGGTTTCACTTACACATTTAAATAATTGCAGGACTTCAGTTGGATGGGAAATATTTTGGCCTCATTAATAAAGACTGGTTCGGATTGCATTATGAAAGAATTCTTGAATCACTAGTTTAATTTCATTTATTCCCAGGCACATTTTCCATGGTCTGCTGAGGAGTAATCATACTCCAGAAAGCTTTTAAAAAAGAAGACTAAGAAATAGATAGAAGAGGATTGGGGTGAGTTGGGCAGCTCCTTGCCTCTTAAGCCCTCTAATCTTTGAAACTGTGAGCATTTGACCATCTATAGGCTAGGTCTTGCTGCAGACTGTGGAAACACCTGCTGTGTTTAGGGCTAATTAGGTCCCCTGGGCTAGTCCATCAGACGCTGAGTTTCAGATCAGAATGGCTGCTAGTTCTGCTCTGGACCAGGACCCCATATCCAGAATCTGGGTCTTCACCTTCTTTTGTGGATGGTAACTGCCTCTTACCCACCTCCAATCTGAATGTCTGCTCAACCCTCTTCTAGCTGAAACACCTGATGCTTGTTGAGCATCTGCCAGTGTGTCCTCCTAGTACCATAGGCTGCTGAATCAGGGTCATATGCAGTTTTAAAAGAGTGAGGTTATGTCATCAGACTATTTTGAAGAAAATTATTCTAGCTTACCGAGTTTTCTTGTTTATATATGAGACATGTAAATATTTTTATATATGAATCTGTGCCGATAGCATTCTAAAACACTGCTTAACAATGTAACAAACAGACGGTTAGGCTAGTACCTAGTTCATCTACCTATTACTAAAATGACAAATTTTTGTCTAATTACTAAAAATTGCTTTATGTGTAATGAAGCTTCAGCAACAAGTATTCTGTGTATAGGTATACATATGAGTATATGTCGTTATGTTTATTTATGTATACTGATGTATTCTTTTTTGGTTGTATAATGGAAAGAATGTGGAAGCTGCAATAACCTTGCCTTGAATATAAATAACAGCTCTGACACCATCTAGCAGTTTTACTTTGGGCCCACCATAGACTCAATTTTCTCATCCTTAAAATAAGCGGAATGTTATTTACCTCTAGGGATAGTTGTGAAGATTGAAGGAGACAATGCATGGCTCCTAGCATAGTGGCTGCCTCACAAATGGTGTTCAATACATGCAAATTGTGATCCTTTTCATGGCAAATAAAAAATGATCCACGCATGGACAGGGCTTGAGGGAAGTTAATGTAAGAAGACTCATTTCTTGTGACAAAACTGTTTCCAGTATTAATCAAAGGTATCAAATTTAGACCATGAAGATATATGGGGAAAAAAAGGTATGGGGAAATCATTGCACAGAAATCCATTGCGTTTCTATCCACTAATAATGAAGCAATAGAAAGAGAAATTAAGAAAGCAATCCCACTTATAATTACACGAAAAATAATAAAATACCTAGGAATAAGCTTAACCAAGGAGGTGAAAGACTTGTACTCTGTAAACTATAAAACATTGTCGAAATGGGAAACATTCCACACATGAGAAAATGTTCCCTTGTGGATTGGAAGAACAAATATTATTAAAATGTCCATATTACCCAAAGCAATCTAATGCAATTTAATGCAATCCCTATCAAAATACCAACAGCATTTTTCACTAGAACTAGAAAACTGTTTGTTCTAGAATTAGCACAAATAATCCTAAAATTTGTGGGGAACCACAAAAGATCCTGAATAGCCAAAACAATCTTGAAAAAGAAGAACAAAGCTGGAGTTATCACAATTCTAGACTTCTAGTTATACTACAAAGCTGTCGTAATCCAAACAGTATATTAACACAAAAATAGACAAATAGATCAATAGAATAGGATAGAAAGCCCAAAAACAAATCCATAATTATGTTGTCAATTAATCTTTGGCAAAAGAGGCAAGAATATACAATGGAAAAAAGTCTCTTCAACAAATGGCCTTGGGAAAACTGGACAGCTACATGCAAAAGGATGAAACTGGACCACTTTCTTATACCATACACAAAAATAAACTCAAAATGAATTAAAGACCTAAATGTAAAAAAATAAAAAAATAAATAAAAAATAAATAAAGACCTAAATGTGAGACCTAAAACCATAAAAATCCTAGAAGAGACCACAGGCAGTAATTTCTCTGACATCTGCCATAGCAACATTTTTCTAGATATGTCTCTTGAGGCAAGGAAAATAAAAGCACAAATAAACTGTTGGGACTACATCAAAATAAAAATACTCTACACAGTGGAGGAAACAATCAATAAAACTAAAAGACAACCTACTAAATGGGAGAAAATATTTGCAAATGACACATCCAATAAGGAGTTAGTATCCAAAATACATAAAGAATTTATACAACTCAACACCAAAAAAAAAAAAAATCTAATTAAAGATGGGCAGAAGACATGAACAGACATTTCTCCAAAGAAGACATACAGATGGCAAACAGATACATGAAAAGAGATCCCCAGTATCACTCATCATCAGGGAAACGCATATCCAAACTACAATGAGATACCACATCACACCTGTCAGAATGTCTAAAATCAACAACACAAGAAACAACAGATGTTGGCAAGGATGTGAAGGAAAAGGAACCCCTCTGTACTGCTGGTGGGAATGCAAACTGGCTCCTTAAAAAATTAAAAAAAAAATAGAACTACCTTATGATCCAGGATTCACACACTAATTTGAAAGTATGTATGCATCCCCTATTTATTGCAGCATTATTTACAATAGTTAAATTATGGAAGCAACCCAAGTGGATAAAGAAGAGATGGTATATATACACAATGGAATATTATTCAGCCATAAAAAGGAATGAAGCCTTGCCATTTGTAATGACATGGATGGAGCTAGAAAATAGAATACCAAGAGAGATAAGTCAGTCAGAGAAAGACAAATACCATATAATTTCACTCATGTGTGGAATTTAATACAAAACAAATGAGCAAAGGCAAAGGAGAGAGAGAGGGACGCCTGGTTGGCTCAGCGGTTGAGCATCTGCCTTCAGCTCAGGGCATGATCCCAGGATCTGGGATCGAGTCCCAAATCGGGCTCCCTTTGAGGAGCCTGCTTCTCCCTCTGCCTGTGTCTCTGTCTCTCTCTCTGTGTGTCTCTCATGAATGAATAAATAAATAAATAAATAAATAAATAAATAAATAAATCTTAAAAAAAAAAAAGAAAAACAGAAAGAAACAGACTCTTAACCATAGAGAACAAACTAATGCTTACCAGAGGGGAGGTGGGTGGGGTGATGGGTGAAATAGGTGATGGGGATTAAAGACTGGGTTTATCATGACGAGCCCTGAGTACTGTATAGGATTATTCGATCACTATTTGTACACCTGAAACTATTATAACACTGTAAGTTAACCATACTGGAATTAAAATTAAAAACTTTAAAAAATTAAAATATTAAAAAAGAGAAGCCTTGACCATAAGATTGTAGTGGCATGGAGCAATATAGTGATAAAAATACTACTATTAAAAAAAGTGTGATGTGGGGAATTTGCTAAAAAAAAAAAAAAACCTATGTTCAGCATTACCATTGCTCAAAATATCATCTGCAAGAGAGAAGTTCTGATGTTAAAGGATGGAACATGGGAAGGTTGTGATAGAGTCCATGATTTCTAGAGAAAGGCAAAACTATTGTGATTATTTAAGGTGGGGAGTGTTGGGGATACCTTTATGAATGACAAATGCAGTATTTTCTTGGAAACTCTTCTCTGGCTTATACTTGTGTGGTATACCTAAAAGGGCAATCTTTAGTTGCCCAGAATGAAAACTAATCATCTTCTTGTGTTTTTTGGTTAAAATACTTGAAACAACTTTCTATATACTGCTGGACCCAGAGCTCTGCTATTGTGTAGAGCTCAAAAGGCCGTGGGGCCAAGTCTCCCACTCTGTGCTTTTTCAATAAAAATAAACACAGGTCTGTGACTTGAGGCCCTAAATATGTCTGACCAGAATTTGTTTCATATCAGCTGCCAAAAAAAGTTCTCCTTGACTTGAAGTCAGCTGGTAAGGAGATCATGTCCAAACACCCATTCCATGAGAAAAGAAAAGACTATAAAGGGCTTTTTCATGGAGGTGCCAGCCACGTAACTAAAGATGAGGACATTCAGATGTTGTCCCAGTGGAGAGGCAGCCAGGGCCCTGAGCAACTCTTAGACACTGCAAGGCTCGAAGCCACGCTGGCCAGAACTAGAATATCAGGAACTGCCAGTCTTTGTTTATAAAAACCTGCCTTCAGAGCATGTTCATGCAAAGTGCGTTGCGTTGGATAATCCTCACAGAAGCGCAGAGCAGTTGAGAGAGTGAGCTTTTAATATTTTACAAATAGAAAGGCAGACACAGCAGAGATAAATGATGTACTTGAGGTCACATAAAAGTAGTCAAAACTGGTTTAGTCTGAAAATGTGGTCTGAGTTTTTCAGAGTTAATTTCTCTAAGAATAAATAGCTGTTTAAAATATATGAGGAGAGGGAAATATGTTCGCATATCTAACAGTCTCTAAGAGAATAATGCTCATAGAAACTTTATTTGTTAATAATCATTATTTCTAGAGTCTCAGCTATTTTTAAGGAATTGGTTTCAGGGTACAATAACAAACCTTACTATCAGGAAGCATACGGTAGTCAGAGAAAATAAGGCATTTTCAATATAATTTAAAAAGGGAGGAAGTGCCATATTTTTAAGATGAGAATGATTTGAGGGCAATGGGACTTCTGAGAAAACTGAAGTGGATTTGGGCCGGCAGCATCACTGAAGCCGGTCGCAACCTTCATGGTGGAGCCTATATTTGAACTAGACTTTGAAGGATGCATAGGATGGGTTGAATTCAGCTTAAGAGAAAAAAACAATCATAAAAACTGAAGGCACTGCTTAGGAATTGTCAACAGACAAGTGAAAAGAAAGCCATTGCATGGGGTTATATTATTAAAGAAGAAAGAGGAATAAGAGGTACTGAAGACAAAGTCCTAAAGATATCGAAGAAGAAATGATACACCAAACATAAGCTGTGCTATAACTTAGATTAATTATATAAATTTATGATACACATAAAATTATATATACTAATATGTTTTATATTTACTTGTTATTAGATAATCTTAATTTTGTTACAAAATTATCATTATTCTCAATATAATTTTTCATGTTCAAAGAACTTGTTTCCAAAGTGTCTAGCTTTACTTATGTATACCATACA